ATAATTTAACTACATAATTTATAAAGTAAGATCTCATAATTTCTTTGCTATGGAATGAGTGCTATGTTACTGATATTTGTAGCAAATTTCGAACCAGCTCCCACTGAGCTAGTTTTACAGCATGTCTAGGGCTATTGTACTAAACAGGCACATAACTTGAACATTATCTTTTAAAATAAAGATCAAAACAATGGCATCTTAGAAGTTCAGGCTCAGGTTCTGATGTACACAGTATTTAATATGGAAAGCAGATGTGATTATGAGTCTCATTCCATTAAAGTTGTGCTGCTTAAAAGTTTCACACCAATCCACAAAGAGAAAAAAAGAAGGTAATATCTTTTACAAATTGTGTAGAAACAAATATTAATGCATTTTGTTTGTTTTTAAATCCCATGGAAAGTTGAGCAACTAATATTATCTGTTAGGGATGTATATTTGATTTCTTTTTCATCTTGTTTCAGGCAGTTCCATTCATTTTGTTTTCCATTTCTTATTGTCTCATCCATTTAGTTTCTCTTCAGTTACTGTTTCATTCATTTTTCCACATCTGCCCTGATTAAATTGAAGAATTAGTCTGCCTTCTGAGGCTGCAGCCTTGGAATTTTCCATTCAAATGAAATGATGCTTTCAGATATTGTACAACTTCCCTAAAGCCACTTTTCATTTGGACTTGATGAAGAGTCTCAATTTTCTAAGTAATTTAAAAAGGGGGTGACCTTCTCTAAATCTTACCAATACTTTCAACTGAGCTCTTTCTCTGTTCTCCTGATTGTAACTTTTACAGCCTCCATATGTCCAGCTGTGCAGCATTTGACTACTTACTTAAGGGTCAGGCATGCTTACTGTCAGAAAGACTGGACAAATGGCCATTTAAAAAATTAACAAGGCTGCATCTTCTCAGATCCCCCATTGTTTTAGCTTTAGACTGGACAGTGTTCCTGTCATTGCTTTCTGAATCTTTTAGCCCTACACTGCTATTTCCTGAATGTTTGTATTTATCTGCATAACAAATATAAGGCAATGACTTTTTTCAGTTTCAAGAAACAAAAGGATTTTAATCTGTTTCTTCCTTTAATTTCTCTATTTGGAGAAACAAAGATTGATGCTGACCCCAGCTTGATCTTGTTTAGCAATGGAAGGCAATAATAGAAAAAGTTTGTCATATAACATTTGCAATCTCTAGATATCCCTTTAATATATATATACCAATATTAGAAGAAATATTTCATGTCAAATGACATATAAAATTATTTAATGTGCTTCCACATTAAAGGCTGTCATGACATAAAAGTATTACTGTGGACTGTGTATTACACCACAAAATGGAAAGCCATTGCTCGGAAACACGTTAAACTACGCATTTTGGAAAGAAGTTTGGCAAAAGTTTATATCCATACTGTGAAATGTTTCAAAATGGTCACAAATGACTGCTTAAAATAAGAAACTGGGAATGGCTTGTATGAAGAAAAACACATTTCAAAGCTATAATATTAGGGTAACTGAATAAATATGTTGGTTGAGTCCCAAAAAAATTGCTCATGCTTGCATAAGGAACATTTTGCATTCCATTTTAAACAAGAGACACCTATATCATAACCTAAAGTGCTTCTGAAGTATCATTTGATTTCAAAAGAAAATTGTTGTGTGACGAAATAAGTATTTTTATGATGGGGAGAAGTAACCCTAAGTCTAAACCTTCTTTTCAGTCAAATAATTATTGTATATAATTAAATCCAAATAATTGTCACCTTTGATCATTATTAACATATTTCATTTTACAAAGACAGTTCTACTCTTCTCCTATATTATGTTAAGAATTGAAAATTATTTTGTAATTAATGGAAAAACCTAATTGCCAGACATATAAATGTAGATGAGAGCATACTTTATATAAATATGATTATTTTTGGCATCACACTTTATCTTCTCACTATTCATAATTCTGGCAGCATACTGTATGTCTGGCTATAAAATAAATAGAACTGAAATCTTGCCCAGTCCTTCTGAAGGGAGAAGAAATATAATTTACAATATTTTTACTGGAAATTAAAATATTCTTGGCACATTCTTAGGTAGAAGTTAGCTTCTTAGTTTTGTAAAATCTTAATTGATAAAATTTAAAAAAAGATAAAGAGAGTTAAGTTTATATACAGTTCTTAAGTGCATCTAATTGAAACAAATTAATTTCACCAGAAAAATTAGAAATACCCTTGTTTTTTTAGAAAAAAAGACAAACCATTGAAAACTTCCACAATACAGTTCAAGCATATAATTAGTAGAAATAAACTTGATACCATAATTGAGCACAATGCATTCGCATAATTTACAGCACATAAAACCAAGCCATAACATTCCTCTTCTGTTACAAAGAAAACGGCAAGGCTTTGTAACTAAGACAGAAAAAACAGAGGGCAGACACTGAAAAAAAAAGCAAAGCCAAAAAAATTGGGAAGTATCCCCAGTGCTAGTTAGGAAAAAAAATATGTGGAAGCCCAATACGTTTCATGAAATTCCTTTGTCAAGAACACTAGTGTCCTTCAACCAAAATGTTTTACCAGGTAAGCAGAGTGCTCTTGACAAAGGTTTTTTTTTGGCACTTGGGACACTTTTCCCCCCTTTTAAGGTTTTGCAAATGAAAAGATAGGGCTTAACACAGACACAATATACTCATCTAAGTCAGTGAGATAATTTATTTCAGTTGAATTTAGAACTTACAGAAAAGAATATATGTAGCTCAAGGTAGAACTGTGGAGTCCTTGGTGATCTCTGAGCTCGGTTTTTTGGAATTCCTGGAAGCTTGGCACTGAGATACATCAGCCATCAACAGACACATAGAGATAAACCACATTTACACACCATTCAAAAGAGACAATAACAAAGCTAAGAAGGAAACAAAAAGACCAGAACACATCCTCTCCAGCAACCTACACCCAGATAAGCAGGGATTAACACTAGACAAATCAAGCAGAAAACACTATTGTAATCAAGGAATTATCAAGGAGAAAACCACACCCCCCACCAACACTGGCAGGGCAAGCTACTGTATAAAAACAGGGAGTAAACGCCACACTGACTAGCACTGATGATATTACCTAGTTGGGTAATGAAATGTCTGCAATCAAACTCAGAGAGTACCAAGGACTCCACAGAATTTAGAACTGTTTTTGAACTCAAAAACCTAAACTCTAATCCCATGATGAGACCCTAAACTTCTATGGTTTTTCTTCTCATATAATAAAAGTCATAGCACTCTATATTTTAACAGATAGTTATGAAACCATTTCAATTTCATTCATAACTACAGTATTAGTTTCTTAGTATTTTAGAGGTATAAGATTATCGAAGAAATTGGCTACAGAGCTGCAACTTGCATTACTGCACCAAAGCACTTGGAAGTTTTACATACAAGGTTTAGATAGATAGATAGATAGATAGATAGATAGATAGATAGATAGATAGATAGATAGATAGATAG